CGGCGACTGGTCGCGAATGCGTGGCCAATGCGCACGCTTTGATAGTTTTGTGTTTGGCGACACTGCAGTTCTGTTTCCTATTCGAAAGTTATCCTTGATGCGAACTGTACAGAAGTGTGTCACAGTTCTGTGTGCTGACATGGTCAGGTGCTGCACACGCTAGGTGGCGATAATTGCACACGGTGGCTTCTCGTTTTTGGAGCTCTCTCAAATTGAAACTGAAACTGGTTGATAATGAGGGGCTTGTAATTGATTACCTGTCACGTGCTGTAGCAAACGATGTGCCGTATTATGACTAACAGGCCCTCAGCAACACATCATCATCATCATCATCAGCAGCAGCAGCCTAACTACGTCCACTGCAGGACAAAGGCCTCTCACATGTTCCACCAGTAAACCCGGTCCTGTGCTTGCTGTTGCCAATTTATACTAGCAAACTTCTTAATCTCATCTGCCCACCTAACCTTCTGTCTCCCCCTAACCAGCTTGCCTTCTCTGGGAATCCAGTTAGTTACCCTTAATGACCAGCGGTTATCCTGTCTACGCGCTACATGCCCGGCCCATGTCCATTTCTTCTTCTTGATTTCAACTATGATATCCTTGACCCTCGTTTGTTCCCTAATCCACTCTGCTCTCTTCTTGTCTCTTAAGGTTACACCTACCATTTGTCTTTCCATTGCTCGCTGCGTCGTCCTCAATTTAAGCTGAACCCTCTTTGTAAGTCTCCAGCTAGGTTTCTGCTCCGTAGCTAAGTACCGGTAAGATACAGCTGTTATATACCTTCTTCTTGAGGGATAGTGGCAATCTACCTGTCATATTTTGAGAGTGCTTGCCAAATGTGCTCCGCCCCATTCTTATTCTTCTAGATACTTCAATCTCGTGGTTCAGCTCCACGGTTATTACCTGCCCTAAGTAGACATAGTCTTTTACAACTTGAAGTGCACTATTACCTATCTCGAAGCGCTGTTCTTTCCAAGCTTGTTGTACATTACTTTCGTTTAGAATGGGAACAGTTAGGGATAAGAGTTAATGGAGAGTACCTTAGTAACCTCCGCTTCGCCGATGACATTGCATTGCTAAGTAACTCAGGGGACAAATTGCAACTCATGATTACAGAGTTAAACAAGCAGAGCAGAAAGGTGGGTCTTAAAATTAATCTGCAGCAACACATAGCAGCAGAAAAATGTGAGGCCTAAGTTTTTTTGTGAGCGCCCCCTTAAGGTTCACTGAACTCACAAAGTTGCAAACTGCACGTCATGTGTGCATTACTGAACTGCTCGAGCATAAAATGTTTTCATGCCTCCCCATGTATTCTACTGCCAAGCAGCTTAGCCCGTTCACTGCTGGTTTTTTTTACCCCTTTCTTGGTATTGCTGCACGCTTTCTGCTGCTTTTTTACTGCATGTTATGCAGAATTTTTCTCTTAGTGATGCAGTAGGATGCATGTTTATAGGAGATTTTCCAGCATAATAAAAGTAGAACTTATTACAAGCAACAGAATAACTAACAAATTATTTTTATAAATAATTACTCATTAATTAAGTTACTGAGACATCAATTCCTCATTTTATTCGGAGTCCAAATTAGTTAAGAAGTTCTGAATTTCTTTTGTCAAGTAGCACGCACACAAGGCACGCTGACTTGCCACGGCTGTGCTGCTGAGACGCTGGCAAAGAGACACGAGCCGATGCTGATGTGGAAGAATCTGCTGTAAACGAATTCACTACAAGCTATATTTCTTTGTATGGTCGCTCTATAGGGAGCGAGACACACCTGCACTGTTTTACAGTGAAATCTTTGTTGAGATCACAAACAGGGTCATTTTTTATTTTAACCACCCCTGTAGTTGTCCACCGCCACCACTGTTGTATGTAGCCACTATTGCACAAAGTAAGGGAAAGTAAGGGAAAAAAATGAAATAAGAAAAAAAATTGGCGGACTCTTAAACTTCATCTTTAAGAGATGAACGCGATAGTGATATCCTGTCCCTAGCTCGTACTTCAGCCACTTTGTGCATACTTTTTATTATATGATGTTACTCGAGAAGTTTAAGTTGTGGATTACTACAATGTAATCGATAAAGTTGAAAGTGACTTGTGTGAGTGAAGCTTTTGCATAGGGCTGCTTTCAGTGTAATGGGTAGTATGCTTTCGACCACGAGTAACTACGTGGGAAAAGTTTTCGAACTTGCTAGGCACCCACTACATGGTCTTAGGGAAATATGTGCAGTAACGTCTGTGCCTATTGTAGTGGGTGACTGGCTTTAAAATGCAAAGTCATCATGATAGTCTCATGTTTAATGTCAGATGGCAATGTACCACACAATATCACTGTGATATTACGTGTTGTATTGTGAAGCTTATATACAGGACGCGTGTGTTTGTAAAGCATGAACATTATTTTCACTGCATTTCCAAGCAGACTCATGCCTGTGTGGTAAAGCGCCTGATTGCTGCTATGCAAACAGCCTGGGTTGGATCTTCACTCAGACCAGGAAAATTTCATTATATATATTATTCGTATCTTTCTCAACTTTTCTATCACACACAAGATGATCATTTTTCGGAAGAGGTGACAGGCGGGCTAGTTGGTATATATTCATTATGACAACTTGGTAGTGCAAACAAACGGAACTAAGTAGGAAGGTACACAAACAAGTGAAGACTGAAACTAGAGCTTAATATATACTAGAAAAGGTGAGGGTGAAAGAGGGTTACACGGGCAAAAAACAAAATTAGCCTTTTTATAAAGCCTTTTTTAATAAAGAAGAACACTGATATTTGTGTCAGTTCACCCTCTGTATCACTTTTAGATTGTGAGATTGTGTTTCTTCACTATATTGATGACTGCACCTGACATTGATTCTTCTCCCTGTAACCCTCTTTCCCCTTTATCTTGTACACATTTATGCCCTGATTAAACCCAAGTTTCAGTCTGCGCTTGTTTGTGTACCTTCTTACTATGTCCCATTTGTTTGTGCTGCCAAGTTGTCATAATGATGATTTTTTGCTCACGAACAATGACACCGATGCCGACGTCGAAATTTCTGCTAAATGAGCTATTTACCGCTATCGCGGTAAGATCTAGGATGGAACAGGGTTCAAACCTGGGTCCTCTTTATGGCAGCCCAATATTCTACCACAGAGCCATACCTGCATTCAAAACTTCATCACGAAAAGACCTATACAGGCATCATTTAAAACAAGGAACGACATTAACATATCTAATATAGCATGGCAGAAGAGTAAATTAACATTGAGTCATCACAAATGCAAATTGTACAACGAGGTATAACACAATACAGATTGAGTCAATGAATTGAATCAATAAAGATTGGGTCAATGAATGTTTACAACCCATTACAAAAGGCTATGCCATAATTCTTCATCGTCATCAGCCACCACATCAACAAAGTGCACATAACGGCTTGCAAATGTTTAGCGGGTCTTTGCAGAATGAGGAATAATTATGTAGTGGGTACCTTGTAAGCATACTTGTATTAGAAGCCCAAGAATGTTTTCAATTGGTTCTAGAAATGTCATTTTCTCTGCTTTTGCTATAACTGTGTTGTACTTTCCGCACAGGTTTAACTTTTTATACAAACCTTGTCTTGCAAGTGGCAGGGACTGATATAAAAAAGGCAAAATAAGCATACTTGGGATTGGCAGCGCTTGTGCATGTGTTGTTGCCCCAATTGAAATCAGGATTTGCAGTGAAAGGGCTAATTGACATATATACAGATTGCCCCAGCTATCTTAAACCAGAGTTTAAAAATATGCCGACACACGCAATGATGATGCGATCAAATCCATGTTGCTGAGTGTTGCCTAGAGCGAGTCAGACTATTTTTTGTGTTCTTATTAATTGCTTAATTACATCACATTTAAGTAACTTTTTAAGTGAAGAAAATGGGCCAGAAATTTTAATGAGAAAGTTGTTCATATGTTTTCAATACATTCAATTAAACAGTTTCAAACTTTATGAGTTAATTTTAAGTGTTTTTTATTAACGAATAATGCCCGCGAAACACAAAAAAAATGCCATGTAAGAAACCCGCTCGCCCGCTTGTGCGCAAGATGATTCTAGTGCTCCCTAACGTTCCGCGTACGAACGACCATAGCATTTGCCCGATTGTCCTGTCTCAAAAGTGCCGTGACGATAGTGGTGGCTTTGTGATAAACACGTTTTTTATCAGCCACAAAAGCGATAACCACTGTGACTGCTTACCACTGTCATGAACCAGTGCGAAGGAAGCATATTGTTTGTGTGCGGAATGTTAGGAAGCACGAGAATCACGCACGCGTAAGCGCGCCAGTGGGTTCGTCACGTGGTATTTTTAAATATTTTTGGGGCATTTGTACTTAGCAGAAAAACACTAATAATTGACAGATATAAAGTTTGAAATTGTCTAATCGGACATTTTGCAAAGCAATGTACAACTTTCTCATTGAAATTTTTTACCCATCTTTGTTTCTTCAAAAGTTATTTAATTAAAGGGGCATAATGAAGCAATTAGATTGATATGTGGGGTTTAACATCCCAAAACCACCATATGATTATGAGAGACGCCGTAGTGGAGGGTTTCAGAAATTTCGAACACCTGGGGCTCTTCAACGTGCACCCAAATCTGAGCACACGAGCCTACAGCATTTTCGCCTTTATCGAAAATTCAACCGCCGTAGCCAGGGTTCGATCCCGCAACCTGCGGGTCAGCAGCCGAGTACCTTTGCCACTAAACCACTGCGGTGGGGCGTAATGAAACAATTAATCAGAACATGAAACATAGTCTCACTAACTCCACACAACGGTCAGCAACATGCATTTAGTCGTGTCGTCATTGTGTATGTCGACATATCCGAGGCACCATGTATAGTACTAATGAGTTCTCACGTGTCATGCATGCCTGTCTGTGCATGTTGCTAGATTAATTTATAACATCGAAACTGTGAACAGACTATCTTCTTGACTTGTTTTACCTTTATGCCCTCCCTCTCTTGCAGTATCAGCAACCAGCATCCTCCTAGTTCAATTGCTAGAGACATGTCAGGTGTATCGACGCTGCTACGAGTGTATGTTTGTGTCAGTCTACTCTAACGTGCGCATGCACGTGTGGCATTACCTCATGGGTTACTTCTTCTATTTTGGAGTGCAGCTCACCATTCTGGCAAATGCACCAATCAGTTCAGGTAATCACTAAGCTATTGATCTATGTTTCTTTCTGGGTTTGCTGCCAAAACATGAACAGAAAAGTGTCTATATGCAGCAATTGCAGTGTTTGACAATTACAAGCTCTCAGGCGTGTGAAAATTTGTATGACGACTGAAGTTGGGTGACTTATAGAGGATTTAAAGGCTTGTAGAAGATTTGTTGTCTATTTATAGCTAATTTGTAAACTTGTTGGGGGAAAATACAACCTTGAGAAGCCACAAAAGGAATGAATGAGTACTGAGTGTGAGCTTAGCATGCCAGGCAATTCTCATTGCATTGTGGGAAACAATCACAATAAGGTGTGGGATAAGACACTGTAAGAAAGAGCGTTGACTTCTGACTGTTCAATTTTTCAGACTGCCAGCAAGCTATGTATTATAAAGGTAGAATACATTTGTGCCTCCTGGAGAGAGCCTGTCATTTTTTTCAAAAATTATTTTTGTCATTTATACGTGATATTTATTTTGTCTGCCTGCATGTGCATCAGGGCCATCTGCATATCATGTGAACCTTTGATGACAGAGACCCTCATGTGTGTTCAGAGCTGTAGTGTTGAGAAACGCCTTGCCGGTGACATTAAACTAAAATTAGTGAAATCAGAAAATGTAACCCCTATGATGACAAGTGACTTGAGAACCAGAGAAAAAAAGAAAGCACTAAGGCATGTTAAAGTCTAAACTTTGGATGTGTGCTGATCGAACATGCTCTATCAGAGAGGCTACCTCCCTGTTACTGTGACTGGCAGCATACTTACACACTTGTAACCACTTTCTTTCTAAAAAAGGCTTTGATAGTTTCTCTCTAATTTATGGTTATTGCCAAGACACCAATATAAAATTTTGACCAGCATCTATAGCTCCGGCAAAGGAAGTCTGCAGTAGAACTGTTCTGATGTTAGTCAACAGGACAACGGGATTTAGTGTGCTCCTTCAAATACATATTTTGCTAATGCGTTTTCATGTTTTTTTTTTTTGTACATGGCTCTTTCATTTCTTGGTTCACCATACAGCAGGCATGGTGGTTTCTCTCTTTAGGTGGCACACTAGTGTGCTGCCTTTACTCTAGGAGATTCCTGGTGCTTTGAGAAATAAAGCTGTTGGTAGTCTGCACTCTTCCCCATTCCCTCTCCTTTCTGCCGCATCTTATAAGGGCCCTGCAACACCTTTCTGAACATGGTCAGAAAATGCTTCCAGTTGGTAGTCGAGGCTCCTGTGAACACATGAGCGAAATATTATAGCACTGCGCATGGTTAGGAGTTTACAGTTATGTTTCAAAGACAGCTAGACATTATGTGCTCCTTGCAGATCACACAATTGGAGGTGCCAACTACGTCATAGGTTGGAAAACATGGCCATTGGTTGATATGAATATTCTTGTGATGCATAGTTATCGCTGCCACAACAGGTTACCATCACATGCCAGCAGTAGCGACACTAACATGCTCATGACCACAATGAAAGTGAGCTGACGAGTTCAAAGAAAAAAAAAGAGAGAGAGAGAAAATGATCTAGGTCATGATGCATGCTGGCATAGCTTCTTGCCCCTTTGTCATCCCCCCGTCCCCTGTGTAGCTTTCAAGTGCACTCGTCGGGATGAAAGGAGAGAAGAAGCACTTCAAGCATACAAAAAATAGCTGTAAAGGCTTGTGTACATTGAAAGTGGCACGGCCAAAGCAGGGAAACCTCCTCTCCAGGCGCCGTAAGCGGTGGGAAAACGGGGCGGCAAGCTAGATAGCTTGGGTGACCAACTTTTTGTCACCCGCCAAAGCTTTCCACTTTGCTGCATCTAATCAGAATACCAAGCTGCAGTGGTGCTGGTGTATCTTTGGGAGAAGCAGTATTATGTGATGGCGACACTTGTGCAAAAGTGCGAGATGCCTTGCCTCTTCGGCCGCGCGGCCAGCCAAAGGAGGCATTCAGTCTGAAAAGGTGCGTGCGCTCGCCACCTTGCCACTTGAAAAAGCTCGCTTTCCTGCTTTGCCGCTCCGTCTTCGGTGTGAACAAGTCTTAACTCTGCTTGTGCTGAACTGATTCAAAAATTTTTTGTGGCAGTTCATTCACGAAGCAATAAACTCTGATAATGAAGTCATTTGATCATTACTTGGAAAAGTGTTATAGGGCTCCTATAAAATCTTTGTTTTTCACAGTGAATGAACAACTTCATTATCAACCAGCTAGCTTGCAGAAAGTATTTCTTAATGCCTGTCTTCTGAGGGGGTGTAGCGGTTATTGTGCTCGTTTGCTAACCCGAAGGTCGCGACTTCGATGCATTTCAATGGAAGCGAAATGCTAAATGCCCGTGCACTGTGCGATGTCATTGCACATTAAAGAACTTCGAATGGTTGAAATTTCCGGAGCCCTCCACTATGGCATGCCCCATAATTGTATTGTGGTCTTGGCACGTAAAAGCCCAGATATTATTATTATTCTGGATGCCTGACAAGTTTTCCAATGTGTTTATAGCCTTTTTGAGGTGTGTGCGTGGCCTTGACAAGCTGTTTTTTTTGTAACATTTTTGGGGAACAAAGAATGCATTGTTAAATTTTAAGTGTCATGATCAGTGTTCTAAGCACTATTATTATTAGTATTGTTGTTATTATTATTATTTTACCCTTGAGGCCTTTCAGCCTTAAATGGGAGATTGGGTTACAGAAGAAATAGCACAATAAGGAAAAATTGACAGGAGTAATAAAATACAAGAATCTGTTTATCAGTTGCTAATTGTACGATATTAGCTGAGTTTGCCATGTACATCATAACAACTCAGTGTAATGTGAGTCATTCGTGCAAGCAGAAAGAAGACAGCGAGTTGCTTCCCCTTACTGAATTTTTGTATGGCCGGGCAACAACCATTCCTAGAAAATTTGCGAGGAGCCTGCCGTCATTCTACTTACGTAGTGGTGTTCTCTATAAGAACTTTTCTCCCAGAAGAAGCACCCACCTACTTGTCTTTCCGACGTCACTCCGTGAGGAGATACTTTGTGCTTGCCACGATGAGCCAACGTCTGGTCATCTCGGATACACACGCACATTGGCCAGAATCCAACAGAAATACTACTGGCCAAGACTTCCAGCTATTGTGAAGCATTACGTGTGCACGTGCCTCGATTGCCAACAACGAAAATCGCTACCGTTAAAACCAGCTGGACTATTACAACCAATTCAAGTGCCCACGGTACCTTTTGCCCAAATTGGAATGGATCTCCTCGGACCATATCCGACTTCCCATGCTGGCAACAAGTGGGTAATAGTCGCCACTGATTATCTTACGCGCTACGCGGAAACAAAGGCTTTGTCAAGTGGCACCGCCGTTGAAACCGCACGATTCTTCGTAGAAAATATCGTCCTGAGGCACAGTGCTCCGACAATCATAACGGATCGAGGTACCTCTTTCACAGCCGCGCTCCTTAAGACAGTGCTTGAGCTCAGTGGAACAGCCCATCGGAAAACCACTTCGTATCATCCACAAACCAACAGCTTAACAGAACGCCTCAACAAGACTATTGCCGACATGTTGAGTATGTACGTTGACGTGAATCACAAGAACTGGGACGACATTCTACCATACATCACGTTCGCCTATAATACAGCGCAGCAAGAAACTACACGAAGAACGCCGTTCAGTCTCCTTCATGGCCGTGAAGTGACGACGATGCTTGACGCCATGTTACTGCACGACTGCAATGACATCGATTTGGACGCTGCATCTTTTACCCAACGAGCAGAAGAAGCGAGTCAGCTTGCACGCGTCCGAATCACCCAGCAGCAAAATTACGACGCCCAACGTTATAATCTGCGACACCAACATGTCGTCTATCGGCCCGGCGACAAAGTCTGGGTATGGAGTCCTATCCGCCGCCGGGGACTGTCTGAAAAATTGCTAAAGAAGTATTTTGGCCCCTACACAGTTTTACAACGCCTGAGCGACGTTAATTACATGGTCGTTCCTGACAGCGCCTCGACAACTCGCCTGCAAAAAACAGAAATCGTGCACGTTGTGCGAATGAAGCCCTATTTTTCAGACTGATTTACACCATACATCTACTACACCGTCTTTTGTAGAAGAGCATCAGGACGCTGCTCTCTGGAGGGGGGCAAATGCCGCATTGAATATGCAGCACCAAGAGAACAACGAAGAACACGAGCAGCGGGAGAAAAAAGAAGAGGTTCTCTTCCAATCAGTTTGCCAGTGTTCTGGTACAATTAAAGTGAGTTTCCTGTATTTAACTGCTGCTGTTTCTGCATTGTGACAATATGAGAGAACATATACATGAGTGACTAACATTGGTTTTTACAGGTGGTTGCTATTGTACAGTGCTATTGGCTTGTTAGAAATGGTCAGAGGCATTTTGTAATACGCAAAAGTACCAAAATATCTTTACATGCTTTTTCAAGGTGACTTGGCTACTGACTGCAACTTCGTCACGTTACCTGACCAGGCTAACTTTTTACGAACTCTTTAATACCTTCAAATCATCCAGCTGTATGTGAAATCACGGCATGTTACAGAACCTTGTTGGATAATTCTGACTTATCATAGACTCATTCTTGGCAGCTTGCTATGGCATATAGTAGCTTATTACAAAGTACAGTAGACTTGAAGTAATTAAAACTCTGATAATTCAAACTTTCATTTTATTCAAACAAAATTCAATTTTTTATTGGCCCTCTATTCTTTCAATGTATTAAAAGCCTCTTAATTCAAACTTTATAATTTGGTTAGTTCATATTTTTTGCAGTTCCATACCAGAAAATATCTGCTGCTTTCCCACTGCTGTTTAAAATTTGCAAGCTTATATAATTCTAACAGTCTAAAAATGAAAAAATGAACACATTAGGCCTTCAAGGAAAAATGTTTTGCTAGTAAACAAATGTTTGAAATGAAGCAAACACATGGTAAACAGTGATGCTTCTGAACTGGTATAAAGAGCTTTGTGCTGAAGGCACATACCTGTAGCATAGAAGTAGTTAGCAATTCCCGATTTCTTTAAAAGATCTGATAAGTAGTAAACGGCTGATAAACTTGTGGACCTTACACCTCTGCTTTCTCTTAATTGCGTGCATTTAGGGTTTAAAAATTTAATACTTCACAAATTTTTAAATGTGATAAAATCAATGCCTAATCATAATGTGTGGTGTCACCTCACCCAGAGTAATCTATCTGAGAACTTCTGCAAACAAAATTCAAAGGTCCCTTCGAGTTTGAATTAATGAAAATTGTCTGTATACACTTCACAGAACGAAAGGACGTGGAAGTGAGCATTGAGGCAGCTTTTCTCAGGGAGTTTGCCTGCTCAAGTACATCGATGTCAATTTGTAATGCTGTCTGCTTTTTGAGTAGGCAGAAAAATGCATTAACGGAACTCTACATAGTTTTTCCTGACGTGCTTTGCAATCACTGACCTCTCTGTGACCAGCACATTTGTAGGAGTAATTCCCAGCTCCAGTTGTAGTGGTGACATTCAGATGAACGCCGAATCCAGTAACACTCACTAGCTCTTTTTGGTCTCATGCTATGGAATCGAGGTAATCAAAACAGGTCGAAAGCCCTCTACTACAATTTTACTCATACATAGTGCTTGTTTTGTGTCTGAACAATAATGAACCCTGTAAGCCATAACTTCTAGACACACCGAAATTTCACAAGGGAGGTTGGAGAATTTGTAGCCTTTGTAGCAGACTTTGTAGCTCTGTACTGTTAGAATGAACCAACAGTTGTATGCTGCCTTGCTGATTGGCAACTAGGCAGCTGCTAATTTATCACCTGTACATATGCATGCAGATTCTAATAATGTGGCTAATCCAATGCTAAAGCCCACAGCCGTCTACAGACATATTACTGCAATCACAGCTGTGATGGCAGTGGCACATATTAATAGCAACAAAAAATATATAGCAAGATACCATACGTTGCCTGAAAATTTTAGTCGATATTCTTAGTCTCAGTGTCTGTAGCAAAAGATCAGCATTGAAATCACCAATCCAGTTATTGTAGCTGAGCACACTCATTTTCGTGCAGTATAATTTCTTCATTGCATCAAGCTGTTTATATCGTGCTATCACACATGGCGACTCAGTGAGCAGTAATAAGAGCACTTCTTTCTTGCAGGTTCTACTTTGCCAAGGTTTTCTCTTCATGATATCTCAGCACATCACGTCATTGGCACAGCTGTTTTCCTTTGGGCTTTCTATGTGCAGTTTGACTCTCACATTCGCATGGCGTCCTTAAGGAAAGACAATAAAGGTATTGGGAACATTATTATCAACATCCATTTGGCTACTAATTGTAGTACTCAATACAGACTGACATTTGTTTCAGTTCTTACCAATATGCTTCTAGGCATAATGTTGTGCAGTCCTACAATCAGTTTTTTTCAAATTTTGGGGGTCACAAAAAACCTGAAAAGTCAGGTAGCGGAAAAAAAAAAAAGAGAGAGAAACCATGCTTTTTTTACTGCCCTCAAAGGCTCAACTCACTACGGTCACACCTAGAATGATTTCGATGGGCTGTTATAATAAGTCGGTATGATTTCGAGGGGCTGTTATTAGTTACACGGGTGTATAATTAAGGAACTCGTACTGTTACAGTGAAATTGGCTTTCTTCCGTTCTTAGTACGTAGGCCCGTGTGCTCAGATTTGGGCGCATGTTAAGGAACTAACTCCAGGTGGTCGAAATTTCCGGAGCCCTCCACTGCGGCGTCTCTCATAATCATGTGGTGGTTTTGAGACGTTAAACCCCACATATCTATTTATCTATCCATTCTTAGTACGCATCACCAACGTCACTGTATAATGGCAATGCTGCCTTTTGTGAATGGGCTCTGCACAATGTAACTTTTGTCTTTTCCGTACTTTCCATGGCATTTGGTAGCCATCGACAAAGATGACAAAGATGGAGTCGGCACCATTGCTGACAGGGGCAAATTCATCCAATAAGAAACTTGACACCAGACTGTAGGAAGTTTGGTAGTAAACCTCAAACCTAAGTGGCAAAGCAACGGCTGCGAACATGTTGCCTTTTGAGTGCTGGTTTAAGGCAATCAAAATAGCGACAGTGATTGCAGTGCTAGTTCAAGGCAGTAAAAGTAGCTGAGATGCGAGTCGCGTGGTATCGCAAAGGACCTAAGAGTGTACCAGTCAATCCTGGTTGACGACCATTGTCAAGTATGTCGCCAAAATATGTCAAACAAGCCCTAAACTGTGTCCTTCTCTTCGAAATACAGGGCAACATACTCTGCTGTTGTATCATCAAATGCTTATTAGTCTCGGCTTCTGGCAGCATAGTCGGAGATTGTGTGTGTTCGTGTTGGCGGAATCTTGTGTCAAGAGGCACCCACAACAACAGTCTTCAGTGACATGTCAAGTCTCCCTTTTCATGCTCAAAGCCAAGCTGCTCTAGGCATTTTAAACTGCTTGCATTGGAAAAGTACCACAATTATTTACGCACTATTGTGGAATCGAGACCACTTCGCATTACTGGGTTGACATCCATACAAAAAAGGTTCATTTGGCTGCACATTTCGAGGTGAATTTAACCTTGCACTGGAGAAAGTAAGTGAAATCACAAGCAGAGAAACGAATCATTCACTTGCTAAGGCACAATATTGTTGCCCATGAATTTAATTTTTTACCATGTCACACAAGTGTGAAGATGTTGATGTGCGATTTATTCACAGGCTCTTCTCTTTTTTTCGGGGTTTTGCGTATATCTGCAATGGAAACAGGAAACTATTCATATTAGCTGCCTATTCACACCAAGCAGAGGTAGAGCTGGTTGTTACCTTTTGACATCACTATTTGTGGTGGTAGTTCTTTACAGTTGACAAACAAGGGGAATTTTATTCTGAATGAAACGCTATGACACGGAGTGTCAGAATGTTGGCTCCAGCTTGAGACTTTCGTTGTTAGCCCACTGCCGAACGTTTCATCCCCTTGTGAACCGTCTTAAATTTCTCAGTTTTATCTGGGGTGTTGAAACGAAAAGTTTTGGTTCCGTATGGTTTTGCGCACTCCAATTTACTCCAGTTCAGTTTTAGTACAAATAAATAAATGTATACACATAATGGGAATGATAAGTATAGCCACAGTAAGCCTATAAGCACAGTAAGCACAGTAAGTCTTTGACACGTAGCACAGTGCTGTGGAATTACATCTTTAAAGCTGAAATGCACCATGCAACACTGCTTAAGTTGCTGCCCTTGATAAGTGAGTGCACTGTGACCTGTATTTCATGATTTTTTTTTTAACCCTTAGTAGATTCACCTATGTTTCTAACACGCTGTTATAAAAACTGGCTGTGGTATCTATAGATATAAACTACAAAGAAATAGTATAAAACAAATTTCATAAATATCAAGCTGGTACTTTCTTGGAAAAAAGTGGGACATGCATGTCCCACTGACTCGTGAAGGAATCATCATGCAATCACATCACCGAGTACTTGTGATGAAATGGCCATAAAAAATAGCACAGAGAAAGACTTGTAATACTCCCCCTCCCCAAGTGCCATATACTTTATTTGTACCAAGCATCGGCTGCATTTTGTTCTAGACATTTGGTATAGTGCTGGAACCAATTTTGCAAACTTCAAAATTTTTGTATCGTAAGATTGACTGATTTCTTTTGTGTGCTTCACACTTCTCTGTGTACACTGTTAGTTCAGCTAGACTCCTCCAACTTCCGCTTGAGGAAATGGGAAACCTAAATAGGCTGTAGACACCATGGCCAGGTGTTATGATGGTTTGCCAGAGGCATTTGTAAAAGGCTTATTGGCAGCTAGTGGGCATGTATTATTTTCAAGCTTGCACAGCAGTTCCCTTCACATTTTTCTACAGCATTGTTTACTTTTTCATTTTCCACTTGCAGGCAACGTGGTCACTTTGAATCACACAATTCCCCAAGGTGGCATGTTTGCATACGTCTCCTGCCCTCACTACATGGCCGAGCTTGCGATCTACTGTGCACTGAGTGTGGTCGTAGGCCAGCCCAACACTACCTGGTGGCTCATGATGGCCTGGAACTGGTCTAACCAAGTGGCTGTCTCATTCTTTAGCCACAACTGGTACCGAGAAAACTTCCCCAGTTACCCAAAGCACAGAAAGGCAATCATACCATTTGTACTTTAGCTTTTCGTTAGAACAATGTTTTGCCTGTGAACTGTTTAATTTTACAATGGATATAGCCATTTGAAGATACTGATAAGTGCCTTTACATGTGCAAGTAGCTAAGTTAGTTTAGCGAGAATCATCCCAGGCACAGTACAATGCCACACGAATTATGCCTGTCCTTTCTGCAGCATGGTAAGTTGGCCTTATTCAACTTCTGGTGCGTGCCAGCCTTTCTTTTTTACCAACATTTAATCGAAATGATGCTCTCGGTAAAACATGCTTTTGCAAATTATTCATGTGAGCATTCACTGTGATAGCCCAGTCATGATTTGCCTACACCCCATCCAACTTTTCTAGCTGACAATGGTGTATTTTTGCCCTCCATGGAGTGCAGACAGTCTCGTGATCAGAAATGACATTAAGCCTTGGTACTGACTACATGCATGAATCATGCATTTTAGTGTTCAGTGCAGTGTCTTTGTTGTCCTGCTACAGGAAAAAAAAACAAAAAACAAAATATGTGCAAGCATGATAGAGCATACTTGTTTTTAGCAAAGTTCTGTGTTCCAAACTGAAGGCACTGTCAGGCAAAAAATTTTGCTGCGATACAAAAAAAGGTAGCATCACTGCAAGTGTTATGAAGGCCACATTTTTTGTTCTGCTAGTTCTTGCCTAATGAAGCAAGCATGCCAGACCTGTTTGCCACTTTGGGTAGCAAAACTATTTTTTAATGAAGAGGTAACTGTGAAATATTTGCCTAAGGTCAGTGGTATAAGTTATTAGGCAGGCAAAGGTGCTTTCAACTACCATCTCTGCGAACATTGCACATTTTTGCAGTTTTGTCGACTTCCGAATTTTAGTCGCAGCAATACAGGACTTATTTTGTGTACCTCACTCTCTACACAGTTCATACTTCTTGACACAAACTTCCCACACCACATAAGGCCAATTGAAAACCCCTATGCTATCTTTGAAGGTAAAGATAACACAGATAAAGATATCTCTTTACCTTAGGTAAGGGCACACATTTACCTGTTAAAGGAACTAATGTAAGGTCACTTTGAAATCACCATTCTTTATCACATTGGCAAAGCGGAGCAGAATCATACTTCCATTTAAAAGATTAAAAAGTATTTTTTGTTCAAAAGGTTATCCTTATACTTTTACTTAATGATTGACTGGCGTCATCTCATTGGTATGAAAACGCACACAAATAACTTGATGCCCTAATGGTTCATTGCACACTATGGCAGTCAAAGCAAAGTAACCTCTAGTATTTACATGGCTTGTTCGTTGTAATGAGCACAAGTTCCAGTCACAATTTGTCTGTCAGTATGGTCATCTCTACAACTCTTAAAATCATAGCAAATTAATTGCTCATATTGTGTAAAAGATACCTTACAATACTTTTCAAAAGTGTAAAATGTATCAAGCATTTGTAGTTATTAAAAAAAGTTTTTAATGCAGTTATTGGCCTCTTTAATTTCTGCTACACTTGAAGCTGTGCCTAAGTGGGGAGATCCAGTGTCGCTCAGCCCATCATTGCACTGAACTTTGGTATTGGCAGATTCCTTCAATACTTTTACTGGTCATGGAGCTGCGCTGTAACGCTATGGGAGAGCTTTATGCGCTGCAAGCGGAGGCCGCGGCGCCGCTGGGGGCATCAGGCAGATGGCGGCCGCATACTGTGGCATGTCGCCACGCGTTTTTCATCGTATGTTTGGTGTTTTGCGTGTTGTGCCTGAAGATCAAAAAGGATGCCGCATACATGGGTGTCGATCTGGTCACAATGAAAATGGCGAAAAAGTGTCCATGTTCTGGCTACCTAGACACAGCGAACGACGAGAAAAGCAGAAGCGCGCTATATTGCAACAAGAAACTGGTGGTTTCACATTTGATCCCCAGAAAGTGCATGTGTGCAAAAAGCACTTTGATGAGCGTGGGATCTTTTGCGGGAGCCTGTGGCTAATCGGAGTTGTGAGGATACCACACGATATTCTGAAAAAAAGGTCCAGAGCTCGCCTGCCTACCAAGCGTCGCCGGGAACCGTCAATTGAGCTGGAGACTGTTGAGGCTGCATCGACCCTTTGAGACAGTTGCCGGGGATAATGTCACAGTTAATGAAAGTGACCATACTGGCCACTTCTCCCTCATTGCATACCAGTAATACTGAAGCTCGACAAGTAAAATGCTCACCGTTTTCTTTTATACAGGCACTGAAATCACTGAAAGTGCAGAGGTGACATACCAAACAGACGGAGCTAGATGCAGCTTCTCACAGCTTGAAAAATTCAAAGCACACATCTGTTGCTTTGAACAGACACTTCAGCGCTATCAACTGAAGCTTTCTCAGGTGATGACACAAGAGAGGATGTACCAAAAAACTGTACAAAACTTGCACAAGCTGTAAAAGCGTGAAAAGTCAGTTTTCCACATCAATGCATTATGAGTAGAGACCGGAACTTTAGGCAAAATGCCTATTTTTTTTCCGGAGTTCGTTTCGAGCCTATTTCACATATAAACATGAACTAAAGGATGGGAAACATTTTAATCACATATTTATTGTGCCTATAAGTGCCTATTTTGAGGTTCGTGCCTATATGAGCTTTTCAGTGCCTAAAAATGCCTTTTCCCATTCGTCGAGTAAACGTTTTGCTTAATTGAGCTCTTCATATGAAGGAAAACAAGAAGCACTTGGTGTGGCCATATTAACGACAACACATGCATAGCGCGCTAGTTTTTTTTTTTTTCATTGATGTTTTTAGCCACTGGTAAGGTGCGATTATGGTTCGGCATAGGGTCGACACACGCATACACTGTGTTATATTGGTGAAAACAGATCATAAGCTGACGCACTGACACAGCCAACGTATATTTAGACTCTTCCAATGCGCTTCTACGCATGTGACGTTTGCCAACGCTCCGATAACATCGCACTTTAAATGTGCTTTTATGTGAGAGGGGCTTGTACCCCAGCGAGGAAAACACGCTAGCACCTACAGGGCTAGCAGGAGCCCCCTAACATATTTCCGTCGCTTGGTTCGAGAGTAGTGCAGCATGGTTGCGTGAGTGTGGCTAGAGTGTACTGTAGCGAAGTGAGGAGAGGCTAATGCTAGTGTATCCACTTCCCCTTCAAGATCCCCGTCGCTAGGTTCGAGAGTAGTGCAGCTCGGCGGTTGTGTTTGGGAGGCTAGAGCACAGTGTATCTAGAACGTACGCTAATCAGCCGAAACTAAGCTAGCCTAGCGCTGCCGACTACAGCCTACACATAAGTTTTGTTGGCATTTATGTTTTTCATAACGGCAGCTGTTGGAAGTCTGCCGAGCAATGCGGAATAAAGAGAAGCCATAAAGTGACCTTCCAGGCAATGGACCAGTGGGTCACAGCGCTACTCCGTCGATCGAAAAACGGTCCATGCGAGAAGCTGAAGAGAAGAAATTGGAAAGGTCAACAATATTTTAAGTTTGATGTCCACTCTGAAGCATGCATAAGCATAAAGCTTCCAAAATTGCTTATGCAACTGACAATTTATTAAAATAAAACCTTAATCTGTGCGAATAACATGTACTTTGTGGTTATTCTATGGGCACATAGATTCAGTTTGTTATTTTTATATCCACATCTGTAAATTCGCATGCACAGAACTCCCATGCACCTATTACACAAAATGCAGCCATATGTGAAAGCTTTACTGACACAAGCCACTTTCAAATTATTCGATTTTACTGTATAGTAAAACACAATTTAAACTTGTCGAGTAACATCGTGCAATAAAGGTATGCACTAAGTGGTGGAAGTATGCATCAGTGACCGGGTCGCTATTGCGTTCAAGGCTTAAAGGGAAAGCCTAAGGATACCTTTTTTTTTTTTCGGACGTGCAGGAAAGGGTCGCCTCGTCCCCAACAGACTTGTCGCTGACAGGATTGCCTCAAAGCTTGAATGTGCCTTGGAAAGAATCCCAGATTGTATGTGCGAAAGCAAGTGTCTAAAGTTTCGAGTGGTGCTCATTCAAATATTCTGGATGCAAGTAAAGCATTGAAAGTGCTAGGCCGCAAGTACGCTTCACTAACTTCAGTGGACATCGAGCATTCTTTTTCGCATAAAAGCAAATACCGACTGAAAGCAAGCACAATTCAAGGCCGAAAACCTTGAGATGATGCTGGTTTGTCACTGTTTTCATAGCCTTTCCCACAATGTCTAATTATTTCAGCTTTCACCTCAATCTATTCAAATGATTGTGCTTCTTGCTATTTTTTTTCATGGAAAGTATAAATTTAGCTTTCCTAAAGCACAGAATTTGCCTGTTGTATTTGTTAGAAGTTGAATGTTTGTCCTGAGCACGCTACTGAAGTAACTATAAGTTTTGCCTATATATGCCTAAACGATAGTTTTTAACGCTTATTTATGCCTAAATGGCAGTTTTTAGGGCCTATTATAGGCACCTAAAACATTCTTTTTTCGTGCCTAAAGTTCCGGTCTCTAGTCATGAGCATAAGATCATTTTTCTTTGCGTCACATGCTGACGCAGTCGGTCAATTTTCACGTCTGAGGAGGTGTGTAAGGCTTTCGCTTTGACAGTAAAAGCAATAAAGAAGGACTGGGAAAATGCAGCACGAGTCATACCCCTGTCACACGTGGCAACTTAAGTACACTTTGAGCGAGCGTACTTACGGTCACGAAGTGTCATTTTGGCGGTTTGCTGCTACACGAGAAAGCGAAGTGTACTTTGACTTTGAATGATGGCAGTGGCAATTGACGGATTTGTAGCACAACGTATATTTGTTATTTTTGCGCCTGTGTCTCATCTTCGGATCACGTTGTCTTCGTGGAAGTAGCACCTGTGGCACATGCCATCTTAAATGAAGAGAGAACAAAAAGTGTACGTGGGAGTAAACAACGCAACAGACGCAGCCACTGCTTTGCATGTGCTGCCACATCCTCCTAGCGGACAGAGCCGCGAACAGCCCGACGGTGAAAGTAGCGAGGTTATTGTTGTATTTTATGACTTGTTTTATACATAACAATATCCATCATAACAAAAACAATGATTTAAACATATTATCAGCGCCGCTTTAGGCAACAGCGTCTTTCTGTATAAGCCACTAGTACCGAGGCTACACACTTAATCGCAGACGTCGTAGTGACGTGAGGTTATGGAATGCACTTGCCGGCAAGTGTACTTTGCAGCGAGTGACACAGAACTTGTGTGACAGCGTGCTAATGACATTTGCGGCTAAGTGTACTCGCTCAAAGTGCACTTAAGTTGCTACGTGTGACAATAGTATAAGCTACCCAGCAGAGTGAAGAACTGGGAAACTGCATTGCATGACCAACCGAACATTAAACACTCTACGGCATCGTAGTGATAAATCAACGCAAAACAAAACACGAAAACAAGGCAAAAGCCGTATAAAGTATTGCTTGATCCTTGTTACTTGCTGAATTCAAAGTACTGAGTCATTCAAACTCCCTGTTGGTTCGATAAATACTAGGGTATTTTAAGATTCCCATCTTTGTATAGAAACACCGAATGTATGTATAGCCTGAAAGATTGAATATGTGCTGTCAAGAGCTGCAGCCACTGCACTTCCGCGATGTGTTAAGATCCACCAGAGTCGTTGAAGAACTATAGATTGTTTACAAATTTTCACTGGATGTTTCAGGAAAAAAAGGAGCATGCTTTTACAGCAGTAGCATATCTTACAGTGGAAGACACTTGTGTTGATTACCATCAAATTTCTAGCTTCAAGGTCTCATTCCATGTTAAATTTCATTGGATTAGAGCTTCCCCGATTGTCCTTGAAGGTAACATCACTATGAAAACGTAATCATTCTTCACGGGTACATTTAATGGCGTTTCACAGTTCCACCGTGTGTGTAGCGCCGGGGCCGCCTTGATGTTCCCGCGCAGGCAAGAGCGCGGGAGTGGTTGCTCCTCTTCCTATGTCAAACTTTCGCCAAAGCTTCATGACCAGTAATAGTATTGAAGGACCCTGGTATTGGCATAACTACTGGGAATAGCTCATAACAATTGCCAATAATAAAGGCTGTAGTACTGGTACAGTGTTATTCTTCTCTCTACCATCAGACGACGCTACAGCCTAATCAGTCATGAGACTGCTCAGTTATATGTTCTGCAAGACATATAATTAAATCAGGATAATAGTAAACATGTTTGCCCAAGAACAGGTAAGTGACAGTAAGCACAAAAAGTACCAACGTAACAAATTCTGCGCTACATGCAAAGGAATACTATTTGACCGAGGTGTTCATAACCTGACCTTGAGACTAGATTCGCTATATCGTAAATGTGTTGCAGGAACTCCTCCCTTTTTCCCCTCTATTTGTGTGTGTGTGTGTATTAGGAAGATAGACAGTGCAGTTGATAATGTATTCAATGTTTGGTGTCACAGGTACTAGTGATCGTAGTTTCACTCCTGGGTATCACATAGGCAGCACAAGGAATGGAATAACCTTTTGTAACTTTACATCGAAATGTGCGTACATTTTAATACTCTATTTTTATTGAATTATATGTCTGAGCATTTGTTATCTAGTAAAATTTGATTTCTTGAGCTACTTGTGGAGCTCAACCCGCTCAATGTTGACTTGAAGTGTTCCTGTTTTGTTCTTTTGTGGCCAAATAAATCTACATATGACTTTTGTATTTCACATTTATCATTTTTGACCCTGGGAAAGCCTGGGCTTACTGAAGTAATCTGGTGCACAGTACATACGGTAATTAAAAAGGAACTATGTTGTTTAGCATATCACCTAATGGGTGTTCTTGAAACACTTCCACCGGAGTGCAGCTAACGTGCGTCATGCTTAGCAAGTGAATGATATAACCACTAAACGAATACTGTGGATATTTTGCATGTATTATGTATACATGCTTCATTTATATGTTGTAGTATTACAAAAATTACTTAAGGCAACGTTTGCATAAGGCTGCATATATTCCGAGAATATTGTTTTATCCTTTCAAAGGAGACAAACGGTGTGAAACACACATGTACCATAAGCTCTCATATGAAAAACATTATGCTTACTTGTTCTATAAAGTTATATTAAAAGCTTCAGCTATTTCAAGCTTGCATTGATGTGCATGCTTATGGAGCCGTGGCCTCATTGCTGTGTCCACGCTGGTTCCAAAAGGCCGCTGTTTACAATCCCTGTGGCACCTTCTTTAACAAGTTATTTAGGCATAAAAAAATCGAAGCAAGCAGACTGAAAGAGCAAATAGCCATGCTGTTAATTTTTGCAACCTTGACGTGTTAAAGTTATAGGTAGCTGACTAAGAAACACTGAACTTGACGAAAAGTTTGAAGGGTCATTAGACATTGTAATGAAGGGATGTAGATTTCAATCTAAACTTTTATACACAAACCATACTTCTCAAAAACTTATTGAAAGACTAACATTTAATTAATAATAAATAAACAGATACTATATCGACTTCGTTTTGTTAACATAATTTTAGATTGCTTAAACTACGAAGTAATTTTTTACATAAAATTTCACCTGAACTAATAGTTATGCAGCAAGTTAAAAGATTACCTTGATAAAGCTTGGTGGCATGGTACATTTGTAGGTGCATAAAACAGAAAAAATAAGGAGTAAAACGGTCAGCGAGTTTCTTTACACAAATGCTTTTAACAGCAAAACAAAAAGGCAAGCATTTATTACAACAATATTCTAATCAAATAGACAATCGGTTAGGATGAAGGAACAAAAGAAAAACTCGCGGTTTCAGCTAGGGCAAAAAAAAAAGGCAAGCATTTATTCCAATAATATTCTAATCAAATAGACAATCGGTTAGGATGAAGGAACAAAAGAAAAACTCACGGTTTCAGCTAGGGCAAGAAAAAACACCTTTTTAAGATGTTATTAAAAATATGATAGCCTATATATATATATAAACTGTTTTATCAAGCAGTTGGTTCTGATCCACTATCGTTTTAGGAAAAAAAGAACACTTGAAATGGTTGACACATGTAGTGTATGGTGTTACAGCTGGTAAGTGTCCATGCCTCGTACTGTAACCTGCTGCATGCATGAGAAGGTGAGACATGTTGATGTTGTGACCTTTTATAAATTCAAAAAAGAATTTTAGAGGACATACACGATTTTAATCAGTTGTAGCACGTAGGTCACTTTGAGATACGAGGTCAGCGATTTAAGTGCAGTGATACATATTGTAGACAAATCGACGAGACTTTTTCAGGAGGCTTCCCAGTTTTCAAATGTTGGTTTTAGAAAATGGATCCCATATAATTACGGCATATTCTAAAACGAGGCAGGCGAGTGTTTGATATGCCAACAGATGTATCGTTGGTGTGGATAATTTAGATGAGAGTCTTAGAAAGAACTTACAGCAGTGGTTTGCTAACTATGTGTCAAAGTGCTTTGATCACAAACCATTGCTTATTATAAAGCATAAGTATGTCAAATGCATAACTTTTGACAGAACATGTGTGCCATAGTAATATACTAATGGCTTCTTTCTTAATATATACAGTAAAAGATAATTAATTTCATCTCAGTTAATTTGGAAAATCGAATTCAGAATTGTTCTTTGGTATTGGCAAGCATAGTTATTGTTTAATGGCATCAAACTCTAGTTAATTCAGTTGTATTTGGCCACAAGTTCGTTAAAGGGACCCTGAAACGATTATTTGAAGTTTTGTCAGCATTTAAGCTAGAGTATCATCAAACCATTCGCACCACAAATTTAGTGACACGTCGTGTACCAAGGCCACTGCAGACAATTATATCATACCCTCCATCTCATCTCTGCCTGGCCTCCTCATGAGCCACACTGGCGATCGCAGAGCTCTCATGAGTGCGCTTGACTATTTGACCTTTTACCAGTCTGCACCTCCTAAATCACAAGCTGACAGGTTTCACACAGTCTCGGAGGCGATCACACAGTGCGCTCAGCGGCACGCACATCATCTGGTAACCGAGACAAAGATTGCAGAGTGGTTCATATCTGCTCCGACAAGTGTTTGCTCCTTACGTGCTAATTTTACTTCCACGCATTTACAGCCCATGACAGCCGATCAGATCAGCAGCCATGGTGATGTCAAATGGCCAGAGCATGTCAGTCTGTGAATAAGCGGTAGAAAATGCGTTTGGCTGAGTCACAGTGATCTGTGATATGAACCTATTCACATCACAAAAACAGTTTCAAGGTCCCTTTAAATTGGACAATCCTCGGAGCTCACCAAGCACGAAAGGTCGCAGATATGTGCAATGCAAAGGAGTGAAATTGGCACTTGCAAATGACTCAAACAGCCAAAGGCCTTCAAGAAGGTATAATCACTATACATGATTCTTTATTGGCAAGCCAGGCTTATTCGCCAGCAGTTTCAGTGCTCAGCAGTCTGGTTTCAACTCTGGAATAGGCCACCATTAGCAACCACAGTTTCAGGCACAGTAGATGTGACACTCTGTAGCATTCCTTTGACTTTAGGCTATGCATATGTAACGTCACATAACTCGCATGGTGGAAGCTGTTGTGCACTTAAGCTGGCATAAAGCAGGCTTGCTACATTGTGATGGACAAACAATTCACTAGCCATTTTTCTGGTGAAAACATTTCAATAGTGCAGTGGTATTGACGGTTGTAGTACGTAATAAGGGAGGTGTGCAAAGAAGGATGAATTAAGACACGTGGGTCTTGAGCCCGGTCACATTGTGAACAAATTCGAGAATGTTGAAAATTGTGGCTTTCACACTCCTCTTATGCAAATTATGCACTAGATTTAAGTATCCATCAAGAAAATTAAAGTGCATAGATGTAGTAGACACTCGTTTATTGCCTTCTTGGTACTTTTGATAAATCAGCATTCAGTTCATTTGGGCATTTCTTTTCAGTTCCAGGAAAATCCAAATTACTTAACCTTTACTGTACCGTCTTTTAAAAATCGATGCACATTTGCCATTGCTTACACTAATCAACTGCCTTATTACAATCCCCGTCTAACCTAAGTTGGTCCTCTTTCGTCATCATTTCATTATACAGCACGTAGTCATCACCGTAATGCCCGACTTTTATGGGTAGGTTCGTGAAGATGTCATTAATGCATAAACAGAAAAATTAGGGCAGCTTCGCACTAGCAATGTCAAGCATTAAGAAAGCGCAGAGCTGGGCAGCCTTCCTTGCTTCTCTTTATTTCTTCCTCTCTTTCTCTCAGTTTTTTCCATCTTTTTTAGTGTGTATCAGTTTATTTCTATTGCTCTCTTTCTTTCTCTATATTTGCTTCCTCTTTCCATCTTTTTACATTTTGCTCCTTCCGTGTACTTATGCTCGCTCATGAGAGTTATTGAATTCCGCACTGAACAAATTGGCAAACTTGTTCTGGAAGTGAAGCAGAAGATGAAGAGGATGAAGTGTGTGCATGCTCGTTCATGATGACAACAACAATTCTTGTTTGCAGAGCTTAAACAGCTCCTCTGTTAAAAGAAAATGGGCTCTAGAACGGAACCTTGTGAGACTTGAGAGGAGCTATATCTAAAGCAGTTTTTTTTTTTAGATCAACAAGCTGATCGTGGTCAGTAACGTAGACTTTAATCTATGCTATCATTTTGTCAATTTTTTTATGACAGCACTTAGCTAATGTAATGAATCAGTCTAACATGAAAGAGCTTATTGAATGCCTGGCTGTAATCTATAAATAAGGCATCTGCTTCTTTCCTTTTGTTTATAGTGCTAGCGAAGTCATATACAGTTTGAACAAGCATAGTGGCTGTCGAAAGGCCATTTCTAAAACTATACTGCAAATCTCTTAGTCTAGTCCTAGGCTTGGCAAGAAAATTAGGTATGTGTTCTAAGTTATGTTCTAAGGCCTTGCAAAATGCTGGTATTTATGGAATCTGCATGTAATTTTTTAAGCAAGCTTTGTCCCTTGATTATTCTAAAGGTTTTACGTTAGAAATGTTCCAATTTTTGGGTAATGCTCTTTCGTTTACAGACCTCCTATATAGAATATGCAAGTATTAAGCACACCATTCTGCATAATGCTTTAAAAAAAAGATAAGGATACAGTCAGGTCCTCAAGATTTGTCAAGGTAAAACTTTACTGTAAATTTAAAATGCCTTGTTCTGAAATGAGGTCCGGAAAGGAAGGCGATTTTGTACTAGAAAAGTGTGGTAGACAGCTCTTACCACTTGTAAATGCGGTCTTTTGAAACAAGCTATCTTCGCAACATATAGGTTTTCACCATTTACAACAAATGTGTCGGACTAAGAAGCGAGCATCACAACCCTCCAGAATTTCTCGGGAGATGATCTGATAAAGTCTGGCATTAATGTGCTGTAATAGTAGTCTTTATCACTGGCAATTTTTCCGACTATTGTAGATGGCTTGTCAAAAGCTTCTTCCAGTTAATCATTGTTCATTTTCTCGTGTTTCTGTTCAACCACTGAGGTTTCAGTCTTATTTGAAATGTCTCTTGTGTAAACCATGGATTATGGTGCTCGGACTTCTTCACTATTTTAGAAACAAAACGTTTCATACGATCAAAACAAGGCCTTTGGGAAAATGCCAGAGGTCGTCTACACCACAAGCAAAGCCAGCAAAGTGATTGTAATTAAAAGCCGTATATCTATTATACATTCATCATAAAGATGGTGCCTATTACTTCGATTGCGTAAAACATTGTTCAGCGTCGCAACAAGTGTTTTATGATCAGCAATATCTACTGTCACTGTTCATGAAGTGCAGCTTTTTATGCTGCCACTTACAAAAAAGCAGATCAGAAATGGACCTTGAATCATTTGTAATTCTTGAGAATTGTCTGCCTTGTCGGAGATCGGAGTTAAAAGCTAGGTTAGCCGTAACACTTCCAGCACCCTAAACAGAATACGAGAAAAAATTGTCCCAGGTGGTATTAGGCTTGTTCAAATCTCCAGGTAGAACCCGTATTTCATTTTGTCTTACATAAGAATGTGTTCATAATCCCCCTTCTTACCTGCCATTTAGCTTTCTTCATAGGTGAACATTGCTATAGAAGCCTGCACTATGCATGTTGCATCAAAGCTTTGTGAGCGCTCGAGCTCCTGTCAACTTTTGAAGTGCATGCATTGCAGCAGAATACCTCATTTTTCAGTGTAGCAGTCATGCTGGCAGCATTTTTTACGCAATGTACTCCTCGCTAAGTTGCTCAAAATTTTGAAAATCATTATGTATGAAATTCAGTGAAAAAGATGAGTGAACAAGATAACCTAACAGCTCAGAATTTGGAACAAGCAATATGTATAGAATTTAGCGTTATGTTTCTACAGAGCGTTTGTTTTTGGCTAGCAATGGCATTATGGAGGAGGAGTGGGTCATGAGGGTAAAAGTTTTATTTGGCACTGCTGTCTGTGCTCTACCTTGGCATAATGATTCAGTTTTGCTTGTTTCTTTCCTTGTTACCCACTGCAGCGATTGAGGTGTTTTCTCGCATCTCCTCTCCATCTTGTAAATAATGGCAACTGTTTGCCAAGCTACTTCTTGAAAAACTGCTCTCCTTGCAAAAACGTGGTGGAGCGCAGTGCCCTAGAGCAGTGATGGAAGCGACATTCAGCTTTCTGGAGCAGATTCTCGAGCATAAAAAATGGTGCTTTGGAGCAGGCTCAAGTGTCTTCGGAGCAGCAAAAAATGCTGTAGCTTAGGGTTGCTATTGGTGTTTTCGGAGCAGATGCATGTTCCTAACGACTCCTGAAGTCTAAAACATCACTTAAGCATCTAATAAATATTTCTATTTATTATTAAACATGCCATGTACTTGTATGCAGCTAGTATACAAGCAGTCTAGTTGGCATAAATCATGGGCGGGGAGAGGGGGGTCAAGAGAGTCTGGACTTTTCCGATGTTCAGGCTGTGGTAAATAAGTGTCCCACTTGATATTTAGCTTTAGCTCGTGATATAATTGGGTTAACAGTTAGGTATAGCGCAATCAACTTCTTAAAAGGCTTTTTATCTTTTACTACATACCTGTGTTAAATGCCCCTCAGCTGTGTGAAGTATTGAAATCGAAAAAAAGGTAAAAAAAAAAGACTGAAAAGAATAATGCTTTTGCTCGAGCTCGGACCCCATGCTCGTTTTTTTATTTTATTTGAAAGCATGATTTAATTTTTATATAAATAAAAATAAAACCCATATTAAAAATATGAATTTGACACCATGGCCTGATATGTGTCATCACTTGAGATTTTTCTGGATTTATGCCGTTGAGAAGCATACCAGGAAAATACTGTATACAGCTTGCTTTTGGTTTCGCTTATGCTCACGGGATGGTCCCATGGTGCAACTTCATTCTTTTTAGTTTGCCAGCACCATTTTGGAGCAGGTTTGGAATATCTACTAGCAAATATTGCTCTTTGGAGCAGCATGGAGCAGCAGGCAGTTTGGAGCAATCGGAGCAGCATTTTCATCACTGCTGGAGCTTCTCTCCTGAGTAAACTGCACTTCTCTCTTCTGGGCTTGACAAATGTTATGAGTATACATCTCAGGAGTATGCCTTCACTGGTCATTCCTTTGCTACTGCCCCTTACCCCCAACCTGTTGAGCACCTCATGACATATACTCCACAAGCCTGCAACAACATGAATATAAAACGTTTGAAGCTGTGACATCCTCAATTTGATGGACTCGGTAATATGGATGCAATCAGTGGTAGGAGACCAGACAATTAAGCTGCAATAGCTGCATATAAAGCTTTGAGTAATAAAAATCCACTTTTGGAATGGTCCGGTTCAGCTTTCCTACACCATGCCAGGAAGTTGACAAATCTTGCTGCAGCATCTTGTCCACAGCAGATTATACTAATAAGGGCAACATCACCTCTCTTGTGCAGCCCCCCTTATGGCTATCTTATGTAACTGACTCAAGGTTGCTATGCAGTGCCAGCAAGTATCAGCACCATGATGTTGACTTTAATAAAACATGAAACCCATGATGTTCACTTTAATAAAACATGAAACCCATAATAGAAAAATATCAATGATTTTTACTGTCTAAAACACCATAGTACAGTCAACTTCCACTTCAAACTTCAGATAATTTGAATCAATTACATATACTTCACTGGGGCCAAAATAATGAAAGTTGCTTTAATATGGTCAATGACAGGAACAAAATCCACTAAACGCTCTGCTATTAGTCATGGCATACTCCTCCAATGACGCACTACTCGGGATACTGCCTATAACGCTGACAATATGTTCGCAGCCTTCTGAAGAGTTGAATCATCCTAGAAAAGAAAGAAAAAAGAAAGATGTCATGCATTAATGAAGATAAAAATCCTTATCATTATCTTCATAGTGAAACAGAAATTTCAATAATAATTACAGCTTTAGGTAGGCCAGCAAAGCATACCATAAAAACCAGATTATAGGTCGAATTAAAAAAAAAAACGCAATGAAAAGCCGACCCTCGTCTTATATACCGATCATTAGCAGAAAAAAAATGTGGAAGTCTCGCAACAATAGGCAGCTCAAGTCGAAAGCCTCTATTGCCATCGTGAGCATCAGGAGCGGCGCTGTTGGGCAAGGCTAGGCAAGGCCTACAGTGTTTTAGCAACGCCATTTTGCCTTGGTTATCTACTGTCATTCTGCTGTTTTAGGAGCGAAAAAGCTCCTTGAGGCTTGGGTCGTGCGTCTCCTGTATGTACTAGCCACCTCTCGTTTTAGTCCTTGGAATGTCTGCTAGAAGGGGGTACTAGTATATGATGAATATATGACGAAAGATGCGAGATGGTGTTATTTCGAGTGTTCACTAGATGGACAGATGCGGACGGGACAGACATACATACCTACACACATACAGACATGATCGAATGGACGCTGCCAGTGGATGATGCCAAGTTTGCCAATAAAACCTTTCGAAGCTTTGCCCCACTTATCACTCACTCTGTGAAATGCTGAGATTTTTTTTCTATTTCCTTCAGAAATGAGTGATAGTCGACGGCAGTTTACGATAGGCTTTAACAAAAAAGTTATTGAGTATGCCAAAGCGCACGGCAACCTGGCGGCACAACGGAAATTCCGTGCATCGGAAGAAAAGCATCCGATACTAGAGGAGCCAAAGGCAGCGCACCACATCCTGCAGCAACAAAAGAAAACATAGTTTCATGGAAGGACTGCAATGCACCCCGAAGTGGAAACACTATTCGCCGAATTCGGCCGGCAGCTGCGTGCAAGGTCACTACCCAAAACGCGGAGTGCATCCACATAAAAGCTCTTGAGATAGCGTGCTACTCTGGGCTCACGAGGGTTCAATTCAAGGGATCGCCATCGTGTGTGCACCGACTTGCGATGCAGAAGGGCTTTGGGCTGAGGTGGCATACTTTCGTCTTTCCCCAAATGATGCATCACTAATGCATTGGATGGAATGAAGGACGATTCACTCTGGGATGATGTTACTACTGAAAAACAGGTGTCATCAGACTCAAGTTCAGACGAGCCTGAGTGACAGCACTTTGTGGCCTTCTGGTGTTTAACGACATAATATTAGTGTTCAAATAAAAAGAAATGTCACCACAGTGCAGCTGGTTGCATCACGTATTTACCAAGGCAAGGGTGTGTCTCGATACTTTGAGACATTTAAAAATTTCTTTTTCTGAGATTCAAAGTATGGGGGGTCCTATATTTCGGTCCAACCTATATTCCGGCTATACAGTAAAATAAATAATCTTATTTACATTCTGCGATGTTCACTGTGTCATAAATGAGCATTGTGTAGATACTGCAAAGAAACTACTGAAAGCAGTGGCACATCATTTCAAAATGGCAGGTCACAATAACAATAAACTCAAGTTTTATATGCGTACTTCAGTCATACTTTTGCTGCCCCAGAAATAAAAAATATACCAATTGTACCTCATTCACGAGTTCAACACACTCCAGCCAATAATAAGATGATTTAGTAGACACAACTGCGCCAACTCAAATGCAAGCCTTTAAAAAAAACATTTTTTTGCCTTTTCTTTTAACCATGTTAACTGCGAAATTGTCATTTTCAGCTGTTGCCCATTCTGTGAGGAGCTTATCGAAAAGAGAACAAATGGCATTATCATCTGCAAGCTTAGTGGAGGCTCAGCGACAAGCCTACCTTTGAAATAGACCATAACGAGTATTGAACATCGGCACCCTTTTATTTCATCCTTACACTGTATAATGCCATTCGACCCTTTGTCACACCAGTCTTTCTATCCCCAATAGACCTCCCATCTCCTTCTATGCAAATGAGCTTGCTTGTCTCCATATTTGCAGTTGGAGGAGAGTGAGCTAAGCGCATATAAAGATGCCGCTAAGAAAGAGTTGCTGCCCTAACGAAAACAAGTCCTCTTACAAAAACATTAGCTCTAATAAGGTTCTTGATTAAAAGATTCCTCATCAGCATTCGCTTGCACACAAAAGAGAATGCATGCATATTCATTACTTTGGTACATACCTTGATAAAACAAAACCGTATCAAGTTTTCAGCAAGGTGCTTATTGTTCGCACCATAGAAGGCACTTGGAGGAATCCCCTGCAGCTTCTAGAAAATAAATCATTTTTACTATGCAGCACATGACTGGGTTTTACAATGCACATAGTGACAATTCCATGGATATAATATACACTGTGCAAAATAACTGAACATTTTAATGCATGGTAATGAGATGTGGGGTTCAATGCACCCAAAACCAACATATGATTATGAGAGACACTGTAGTGGAGGGCTCCAGAAATTACGACCACCTAGGTTTTTTTTTTTAACATGCACCGAAATTGAGCACATGGACCCACAGCATTTTTGCTTCCAACGAAAATGCAGACGCCGAAGCTGCCGGGATTGAATCCCGCGACCTGCGGTTCAGCAGCAAAGTGCCTTAGCCACTAGACCATTGCAGCAGGGCAACATTTTGATGCATAACTCAGCTAAAGCCACAGAGATATGCTATTTCATGTCGTACAACACCCACTTTGATTATGTAAGGTTGGATTTACTAAAGATGCCTTGAGTATGCAGACTTGTTACTGGGCTGATTGATTTATAATTCTCGAGGAATGACATGGCACCACATAGACTAGAGAATAAAAAAGAGGGGGCATAGACAGAGATTGGCATTAGTTAATGTCTGTACCGTCATTAATTTTACAATCCTTATGACACACCAACTTTGATGCAGCTCGGAACGTTTAGAAAGAAAATTTTTTCCCCTAAATTTGCCAATAGGAAATTGCTATATGAAATATACTAGGAGCACCAGTAGCGCAACCCATAAGCATTAATGGAGACAATTTTTCTTTTCTTGCTTTGTTACTGTTTCTGATGTGGATGTATAAGGCATTGATTCCCTAATGCACATCCAGCTGTGATTAAGCATCCCTAATGAAAAAATATATAACATGTGCCAAATATAGTGAAGTTGTAGACTATTGACCTGAGGTTCTAACACATTATAAAAATTGGGGGATGTCGTGATGCGATACCACGGACAGTGTGCCAGGATGGTTGTCAAAGCCACACTGCTATCAACATAGCAAACGTTTCAGCCAGAAACAGGCACCACAAGGTGAGAAAAATGCTGTACATTGTGGCAAAAGTTAACGCAAAGTACAAGGCTGGTTTGTATCAGATGTAAAGAATATTAAAGCTAGAATGGCTTGTAACCAGAACACTATATCGACTAATGTGTGTGACACCATATCACTACTACTTCCCATTTTCGCTAGATATTGAAAGGCCCTTGTCCACAACAATATGCCCACAAAGATGCACTGCTTTTTAAATAATTGCACAGAGTGCATGTGAATGTAACTGCTTTCAAAGAGACAACTATTTATTGCACATGAGAGTAAATTTAATACTATATGATTGTGAAAGGAGTATGGACATAAAAATTGTGCAGTACTTTCATGCATTTTCGTAACTTATCTGCCTCAATTGCAGCGTGAGGCCTCTATTCCTTGAGGGCAGCACAAATAGTAGTTCATTACAGCACTTTTCACACAAACTGTTCAAAATGCACATAATATGCAGTACGGCTTCAGGCATGAAAAAAGCAAACTCGTCAAGTCACTAAATGTAGGGATGGCCATCACATATATATACAATTTGAGCCCCCCGATCAGTCTAGTGTGCTAGCTTGGGGGCCATATAATGACAGCTTAAAGGAGTACTGACATGAATTTTTGAAGGAGAGTTTACTCTGCCATACAAATCTCCTGTACACAGAGCCTGCTCTGCTCAAGTGTGAAGCTCAGTAAATAATGATATGTATTTTATTTTGACAGTCCATTTTGGCATGGTGCACCTATTGACATTAATACTAGCATCAGCATCAGGCTCCAGCGTCCATTCTGATGACTTCAAACACCAGTATGGCTAGTTTAGATGACTTAAGGCATAAAAACATTCAAAATGGCCTCTTGTGCATCACAAACGGAGCCAGGAATGGAGCAGCTGTGCTAACGTCACGATATCTTGGGCAAGCACGTGATGAGAATCTCACACCGTGTTGCGACATCAGGGTGAAGTAGGTACCGAAACTAGCTTCTACAGATATACTACAGGGTGTCTAGCAATATGCATAAATCGAATTCCCTGACCTTTCCAGGTTTTCCATGGCCATTACAGCTAAATTTTTCTGACTGATGCAATGGATACTACTTCGTAAAAGTTGGTCGTGAATCAGATTAAAAAGAATAAAAAGCAGAGAACACGGAATATATTTATTTGCCCTTATTTTCTATGTACACTTGCATTTCGCTTTGAAAGTGCCCATTTCTACTTTGAAAAAAATATATATATAGAAGCCTTACATTGCTTCTTCCTTTGCTTTTTCTTGGTCCCTCATTAATCAGGATCGAGGTTTGCTTTTCTTTCTCCAATATTTGTTTCTTGTCTGCCCTCTTTAGTGATTACAGCTGCTATTTTAAACTCTGTAGACATGCTGGTATTTTCAGCTGGTAAGTTCTAATTTCATTGCCGCACCTGCCATCACGACAGAATTCAGCACCCCTCAGATGCTATAGGCGATTTTTCCCTGATTATTCTGAAAAAGACACTCCTTGTTGACAGAAACACCTCCCATTAAACTGCAGTGCTGCCGCGAGCATGGGACAAGCGTCACATCACAGCTCCGTGTGATCTTGACCTCATATCTTTGTATATCCACAGCCCCTATTGCTTCCCGTCAAAGTGTGCAAGTTGTGCCTGTGGAGTGCTTTCTGAGCACACTTTCACATAGGAACGATGGACCAAGTCTGCTTGCAAGTGAGTCACCCAGGTGCTCAGTAAGAATATTACCCCTGTCACACAGCGAATCTAATATCATTTATAACGAATGACATTAAGTGGACCTAATATAATTTTACATGCATGCTGTCACACAGATAAAACAAATGTCATCTTAAAATAATGACCATGACCTTAGCCTTCTCGAGCTGTGGCTTTGAAAGAAATAAAAATGTATTAAAACTTCCATGTATCATGCACACATCCTCAAAAATAAATTTTTAAGACTAAAAAGGTGCTCCTAGAATGTAAACGCAGCCGTTTTATGCAACTTGCCACAGCTGCACGACACTAACGAAGGTAAGCTAAGAGCCACTCGAAAACAAACATGACAAGCCATATGACAGGGCAGTATGAGTATATAGTGACTGGTGAAGCATGGGCGTACAACTGGCCACAGAAATGAGATGATGGCAGCAATGTCCTGAGGTCACCACCCGTGATACAGGCAACAATAACAACAACAGAGCACGAATGAAACATGGCCGGAGTCCAACCGCTATAGTTGAGGGTAGCTTTCTTTTAGAAACTTGCGCCCTTTGCACGTGCTATTTGGCACGTCATCAAACCAGTAATAAGGTAATCTAGTAAAGAATAAGATAACCACAAATTACAAAAGTTGGGTATACATAAGTTAACAGCGATCTCCCTAAACGTCACTGGCGTTGAGACTACACATTGGGTCCGAAATTGATTTCGAATGTGTTTCTAGAACTCATTCGCCAGAAAATGTCATTTTTTTTTATCGAATGGCATTACTTTCACCATGTGACAGCAAAGAAATGACATTACAAACGAATGACATAAGCTGTAAATGACATTAGATTTGCTGTGTGACAGGGGCATAAGTGTCAGGGTAAGTTACCTGGGATCAATCTTCAAAGACAATGCACACAGAGTCCAAACAGCTTGCATTCACAACCAATTTGTACCTAACTTGATTTATCTACCACTTTCTGTACAGACGCCTTGACAGAATACATACATCCTTTCTTGAAGTTAAGTAATTAAAATTACAAGCTGCAACCACTACTGGTTCTGATGGTCACTTTTTGCAGAAAGTTCAAGACTAGATAACAATACACTGATTAGATATTCAGATATGTTCAAGTCCATCATCATCAGCTTAGAGGGTGTGTCTGAAAAAGAAATTCCTTTTGTCAGATAGCAACTATATGGAGATGCCAAGAGCACTTTTGCCATTGTAGCCATGCTTCCTATAAAGTCCAAATCGGTAACACTAGCCCACTTGTCGCATGTTCTAAGCGGGAGTGAAAGCTCGCGAACAATTCTGACCAACGTGATTGAAGCAAAGAATAAATGAGCCATGCTGCCAGCTTCGCACCAAAGGTGCAAGGAGATAGGTGCCGGGGAGAGGGGGGGGGGTGTTGAATGGTTTCGGCACATAATACCAGGCATGGTCGCTGGCAGTCCACTATCTCTAGAAGGGATCAGCAGACGCATCACAGCCATTTATGCGTTGTACTCCAATGGCCAAGTTTGCAAAGTTCACTACACTCATTGCATCGGCCGCATTTTCTAGAGGACTAAAGGAGAATAGCCTTTCTTTGTATTACATTCAAATTTGTTGCTATCGCATTCATTGCATTGTTCTTGCCACGAAAGAGACTTTTTTTCAACAGTTCTTGACAACGATAAACGAGGAATGGCATCTAGTTTTACTGGTGAAGGAATGTAGCCACTGCTTACATGTCTGACATTCATGTGTAAAAGGTTTTTGATTCCGCTTTGCTGTTGCATCATTCGCTTCATGGAAGGCACGGCACGTACGCGCGGGAACTCCAAGTCTGTGTCACACTGGACGTTTTAATCTCATTCAAATGGAGTGACATTCCCATCTAATAACATTATGCGGCTGCTACACAGATATATATATATATTGACCCGTGTCTACATGTAAACGAAATGGACACAAGGTAGTGGGCCTCTGGCTTGACTCGAAAACGAAGAGGACAATCTTGCGGCTCAGCTGTTCAGAACACGCTAATTTCGCTGTCTCAAGGTGTACCTGTGCTTTGTTCGCGTTGTATTGCGACACTGGTGGAGGTGCTGGATCGCAACCCTGCTTGATGCTCCACACTCCGGCTGGGAGCCAATTATCCAGTCCAAACGCATTGTCACCAATTGCAACTCCTGTGCATCATTTCAGTCGACGGGTGCGAGGCCTCGCGCCAAAGCTCACTCTCTCGGCAGAACCTCCCAGGCACCGCTCACCTCGACCAATGGTCAACGCA